TTAACGGGTTTTAATTTTGGGTTTCCCTTTTGTGCTCAGGGCCCCTTTTTTCTAAAAAGGCGCTCACTTTTTTTATGTTCCCAAAAGGGGAACTTATCCTTTAAGTTTTGAAATTTTTTTATGAAAATAGTTTTTTCTTCAAATGAGGGTTTGGGGGGTTTAAAGGGGGGTTCCCCCCAGTATTTCCCTCTTGCGATAAAATTTTTTTGGGACCCGCATTACTCCCCCAAACCCAATTTTCTTGTTCTAGGGCACATGGGTGTGGGTTTTAAAAAGGGGCGAGTCTGCTGCTACCTTTCAATTGATTAATTGGTACCAACAAACATTTGGCCCCCCATTGGGAACAGATGGGGGATTTTTGAACGGGAGGGCAGGCCCCGTTGTATGTAGAAGGGGTTTTTTGCCCCTTGGGTTTTAAACATAGGGGGAATTTTTTTTCATGTTTTACAACCCTTTTGTTTCCCATTCCTTATTTTTTATTATTAAAAGTATTTTTTAAAGCGCCAATAGTTCGCTCAGCGCTGTACTTTTTCAAAAAGGGGGCACAGAACATGGGGAAGAAAAATAAAAATACAATGCAAAAATTGAGGGGGATCGGGGGGCCTGCTCTTTGGAAACTTACAATAAGGAGGGGGGGGGATGGGGGGAAGGAGGAGATAAAATGTGGGGGGGGATTTTGGTTTGGAAGGTGGGAGGAGGTCGGGAAATTAGCAGGGGGGGGGGGGGGGGGAGGCTTCCCCGAAAAGATGGGTTTTAGGTGGCGCCTAAAGGAGAGGGGGAGTAGGTGATAATCTGATGGGTTTTGGGGGAGGGGGGTTCCCGAGGGGGGGGTGCAAACCCCGGAGAAGTCCCGGGGCAGGGCATGGGAGGGGGGGAAACCCCGGGACTAGAGAGAAAGGGGGTCTTGTGAAAGGGGCGGGGGTGTGCGTGTTGGGTGGGGGACTTGGGGTATTAGGTCAGTGTTGTATTCGGGGCAGTATGGGGAGGGTTTTTGTACTCAGGTTAATTTTAAATTTTGATCCGTTGGCCAATGGGAAAGCCAGTGAGGTTTGGAAGGGGGGGGAGACACGGTGGAGGCCATGGGGGGATTGCAAGGGGGGTTGGCGGAGATGGAGGTTGAAAGGGAATTTTGGCAGCCGTATTCGGGAGGGGACTGAAGGGGGGAAGCCCGCGAAGGCCATGAGGAGGGAGTTGCAGTAGTCGGTCTGATATGAGAGGGAGGGGATGAGCGTTGGGGTTTCGGGGTTGGGAACGGCGGATTTTGGTGATGTTGCGGAGGGGGAGTTGCACGATTTTTGTGATTGGATTTGGGGGGGCTGGAAATAGGGTGGAGTCCAGAATACACCAAGTACCTGGCCTGCGGCGGTTTGAATGGTGCCGTTGTTGGATGTGTGGGGACCAATTACAGTTAACCTGTCAGAAAGTTGGCATAAGAGCTGAAATTCCCATCCATTCAATTTTAAGTTCATCCACCAAGCTCTTTGAGAGTCCAGTTTGAACTAATGGAAAGTTTTTTTGTTTTTTTTTAACCAACGGTAGATGATAGTGGAGGCTTTTACACTGCGAATGCCAGTACAACAGCCAATCCCATCATGTTTCTGGCACTCAGGCGGCTGAAGCCCTGGTATCACATTGATGGCAGTCCGGAATTCACCACAGCGTAATTATCAAGAAATGCACCCCGTTCATCCGCGAACCGCTGCGGGTGTGTATGTCAGTTACATCAGTGTTCTCAACTCCATCCTCATTCGGACCCCCAACAGGTCATGTTTTCAGGAATTTCCCCTCAGATGAAACAGCTGTGGTAATTACTAAGGCAGTGAAACTGATCTCAAATCACCTGTGCAAAATAATGGAAATCCTGAAAACATGACCTTGTTTGGGGGTCCATGAGGACTGAGTTGAGAAACAGTTACATACACATTGGTGCGATGTGCAGAATCGAAATCACATAGTGGTGAATACCCATGCGATCTGATTCTAGTGCGGACCCACAAAAAAGGGGTCCTGCACCTTTTTTTTTGTCCGGTGCAATTAGAGCCATGCAAAATGTATGACTCCGATTCGCACCGCACACAAATCGCATGTGATTTGCACAGGAATGCGGTGCAGGTTCCTGTGCGAATCACATGAGATATACTGCTAACCGCATAATATGTGAACCCAAGGCTGAAGGTGGATATCTTTTTAGATGGCTTTCCAGACAATTTTATTTATTTCAGGTACTTGTATAGCGCCCATCATGTACGCAGCGCTTTAAACATATATATTGTACATTCACATCAGTCCCCTAACCCTCATGGGCGTACAATCTAAGGTCCCCTAACTCAGCCATACATACACATACTAGGGCAATTTAGACAGGAGCCAAATCACCTATCCCAGCATGTCTTGGAGTACCCGGAGGAAACCCGCACAGGGAGAACATGCAAACTCCAGGCAGGTATGGTGCCGTAGTTGGGATTCAAACCAATGAACCCCAGTACTGCCAGGCGGAAGTGCTATCTATTTAGCCACTGTGCTGCCAGTTAAATTCCACATGCCTATCTGAAGGGGCACATAGCTTATTCTCATGACAGACGCTTTCAGAAAAGATGAATCACCTCCTGCATTAATAAGCACTTCCAGTTTTTGAACATTTTTTCGTATAGACCCACAGGAAATGCCCAACCTTCACATTAAAGCGGAGATCCACTCACCTGTCAAAAATGTCAGCAGCTACAAAAACTTTTAAACGAGCCAACTACCTGTCCCTCAGTCCCATGGTGTGGTCCCTTGCAGCCCGTTCAACCGGCCGTCCTGTATTCCAGGCGCCGGCATCTCAGTGTGGCACCCGCTGTGACAGCTTGCGGCTTTCACAGCCGGGCAACCCACTGCGCACGCACGAGTAGCGCTGCTCTTCCTGAATGTTCCTGTAGCCTCCTACCCCTGGCCTAGGCGATCGGACCGGAAATGGGAGCGGGTACCTGCTCACCCAACCGCCCCCGCCGCCCCCCAAAGGTGCCAATCCTTAATGGGTAGCGGGGGTGCAGTCCTTAAAGCGGAATGTCCCCTTTTGGGTGGAGCTCCGCTTTAATCATTGCAGAGAGCCAGGTATAGCTACCCCAAGACTGAGAATCATGGGCAGTGAGACATCAATGACATAGTATGATCATCCTGGTTCGGCTGAGGTGTCAGCGGCCCATACACACTGAATCATTTGTTTGCCCTTTTCTCTGTAGAAAAGACTAATTGGCTGCTGCCCACAGATTTCACAGCAGGTTGGAAACACTTTTTCTGCAACAATTGCTCCCTCTGATTGGAAGGGTTTCACTTTAGGCTGTTGATCCAGGAGAGTCTCCTTTTTGTCTTTGGGCTGAGGGAAATTATTTTTCTTCCAGTTCCAGAGCAAATTTTGGTTCACTTTTTTAGGGCCGGTTCACACCATCCCTGGAGTTAAACTGTGCAGGAACGTGCTGCGCATTCCTCTGCGATTTCACATGTGGCTGCGATTTTAAAGCCCTTTCATTTTGAATGGGCTAAAATTGCACCACTCCTCTCCAGAAGTAGTGGATGCACTTTTTTTTTTCTTTTTTTTTTGTAATGTACTAACCGGATCGCATGGTACAAAAGTATCATGCGATCCAGTGCAGGCAGGTGTGGCAAATGCTCTGCGTTAGCCACCTGTATTTGGGGTGTCATTACATTTTTGACACCCACTACAGATCACAAGTGCAGTGCGTTGTTTTTTTTTTTTTTTGTTTGTTTTTTTTACATGCAGGTTGAATCGCACAGGAACACAATTTTAGATGCTGTGCAATTTTAGATGCTGGCATGGTGTAAATCGGCCTTAGTTTTTTTTTTTTTTTTTTGTTTTGGGGGGGGGGGGGGGTGTTGCCTATTTCAGATCAACTGCAGGTTTAGGATTCTGTGTTTTTTTTTTTTTTTTTGTACGGTTTGTATGTGAACCCTTTTTTTTTTTTTTTTTTTTTTTTTTTTTTTTAACACCTAAATGTAAATCCATAAAGCCACTGTCTTTTACAGCCAATTCCTCTTTTATTAGCAATGACTAATGCAGGCCATAGATGGGGCGTAAATCTGCCGATTTTTCGGCTGACAGAAAAATCGTCTGATATTCGTACCGTGTGTGGGTTATTTTGTCCGTTTTTCGTGTTTTTTGCTCTTTTGAATTATCGGTCATGTTGGAAAATTTTTGGAAAACGTCCGATTTTTTTCATCACATTGATGGTCCAAACCGAATAATATTTCCGGCGACAAATTTGTGCGCATGTGCAGTGACCTGGAAAGAAAAGTTTTCTGCGAACGAAATTTATTTTCCGGGACAAATGTCAAAAGTTCTAGCATGTAAACAAAACATTTCATGTCCTCCTGTGTTAATAGCTTTGTGTGTGATGTACAGAAGAACTTGTATCCTCTGTATATTGCACTTTGCTGTAGTACCCCCCACAAATGATTTAATGTTCATTATAATCTATGAAACTTTATATAAATAATAACAGACCTAAACTTTTAAAGCAGCACAGCTTTATTGACACATTGTCATTATCCAAAACAGCGTTTTTTTTTTCTGTTTTAAAGGTTCCGAATTTCAAGACTTTATCGGCTGATTTGCGTAATAATTGGTGGTCACGTTGGCTTTTAGACCGACCGATATTTAGTTCAGAATCGTCAGATTTTAAACACCTCTATGGCCTGCTTAAGGCCTCTTTGTAGACAAATTCATCAGCATGGTTGTCCAAAGCTGTTCACATATTTGCAAGGACTTGTGTGCCATCTTTCTTCACTTTTGGTCTGTGGGTGGACAGGAGCCTAGGCTGAGCACCAGCATTTCTCGAACACCCTGAGTGGGGTGGGAAGCACTTTCTCTGTTTTCGATGGGTGTCCTTTAGCTTTCCAGTTCTGCTTTTTTTTTTTTTTTTTTTAATGAAAAACCTTTTTTTTCTATATTTCAGAGCACGTCCTAGGGCGACCTCTGTCTCTGCATACCAGGGCCTGTGAAGATGTGCAGCTCCGGTCGTATCTGGTTCCTGACAGACAGAAGGATAAAAGATGACTACCCTCAGCAGGAGATACTGCGCGCCCTCAAAGCTAAATGCTGTGAGGAAGAGCTGGAATTCAGATACCTGCTTATGGACGAAGTGGTCCTGACCATTGAGCAAGGGAACCTTGGTGAGTTAATTGTACAGTTTTTGTTAAGACCCCCTAATAATGTTTGAATATCTTAGGCCTGAATTACACTGGCTTCCAGCTATAAGAGCCGTGTTGAACAGCAAGCTTTTATGAAACTTTTGGCAAGCTACAAGCCAACTTTTGTATAAGCTTTTGGAGTGCCCTTCAAGTGGGACTACACTGCACCCGAGCACCACAAACCAAAAACACGAATTCAAAAAACTACACTCCCTCGGCCTCAGAGATTCTGCTCTCTCCTGGCTCTCATCCTACCTGTCACAATGCTCTTTCAGCTTTACCTATAATGCTACCACCTCCCCCTCACTCCCCCTCTCTGTTGGGGTCCCTCAAGGCTTTGTCCTCGGGCCCCTTCTCTTCTCCATCTACACCTCCTCCGTTGGCCAACTCATACACTCTCATGGCTTCAACTACCATCTCTATGCCGACGATACACAAATCTATCTCTCACCCCCTCGGTCTCCGCCCGAATCACACACCTACTGAGCGACATATCAGACTGGATGTCACTCCACTTCCTTAAACTGAACCTCTCCAAAACCGAGTTTCTTGTCTTCCCCCCAGCCCGGACACCACCCCCCATTGACTTCTCCATCACATCCAACAACGCCACCATCAAACCTGCCCCGCAGGCCAGAGTACTTGGTGTCATTCTGGACTCCAACCTATCCTTCCAGCCCCAAGTCCAATCTTTAACAAACTCGTGCAGACTCCACCTCCGCAACATCGCCAAAATCCGCACGTTCCTAACCCCAGAAACCACTAAACAGCTCATCCACACCCTCATCATATCACGACTCAACTACTGCAACTCCCTCCTCACTGGCCTGCCTCGCCGCTGGCTATCCCCGCTTCAGTCCATCCTGAATACGGCTGCCAGACTCATTCACCTTTCCAACCGCTCCGTCTCCGCCACCCCCCTCTGCCAATCCCTCCACTGGCTTCCGATTGCGCAACGGTTCAAATTCCTAACACTGACGTACAAAGCTGTCCACCATACTGCCCCAAACTACATCACTGACCTAATATCCAAATACCGCCCAACACGCACACTCCACTCCTCACAAGACCTCCTTCTCTCTAGTTCCCTGGTCTCCTCCTCCCATGCCTGCCTCCAGGACTTCTCCAGGGTGTCACCCATCCTCTGGAACTCCCTGCCCCAACCCTTCAGATTATCACCTCTCCTCTCCTTTAGGTGCACCCTGAAAAACCCACCTCTTCAGGGAAGCCTACCCCACCCCCTGCTAACCTGCCGACCACCTCCACTCTTCCTACCACTCCATCCCCCACAGCTATCTCCTCCTGTACCACTATCCCCTCCCTCCTAGATTGTAAGCTCGAAAGAGCCGGGCCCTCGATCCCCTCATGTTTTGCATTGTATTGGTATTGTTCTGTCACATGTTCTGTCCCCCTTTGTAATGTACAGCGCTGAGCGAACTATCGGCGCTTTATAAATACTGTATAATAATATTCAAAGCAAGTCTCCATGCCTAATTTTGCTGAGAAATCACTTTGAAAACACCACCTAGGATATTGGCAGTGGCCATCTTGAGTAAGGGCAGGCGATTCATGTAGTATTTACATGCATGCAGGCAGGAGGATGTGCTGATCATGAGAAAACGCCATCCTCTCCGGGAGGCATCTGGGATGTATGATGTTGTTTGCCTAGGTCTGGAAGCCAGGAAATAACTGAGGAAATGTAAAAAAAAGAAAAGTATCAAAACAGCAAATATAGCTTCCTACCTATTTTTACCAATGCTAGCAACATAAGGATTAAAAATAGTCAATGTTGACTGAGAGGTGAATTTCCACTTTCAGCTCCTGTTTGGAAATGTTATACACAGATCTTAATGGGAGTGCTGACTCACTTTAAACAAGCTGCTAGCAGGCTTCAGCTGGCTTTCAACAAACTTCAAGTAGTGCTGAAGGCTGATAGCAACTTATTTATTTCAGGTACTTATAAAGCGCCATCAATTTACGCAGCGCTTTACATATATATTGTACTTTCACATCAGTCCCTAACCCTCAAGGGCTGTACAATCTGAGGTCCCTAACCCTCAAGGGGCGTACAATCTAAGGTCCCTAACCCTCAAGGGGCGTACAATCTAAGGTCTCTAACCCTCACGGGGGTACAATCTAAGGTCCCTAACCCTCACGGGGGGTACAATCTAAGGTCCCTAACCCTCACGGGGGGTACAATCTAAGGTCCCTAACCCTCACGGGGGGTACAATCTAAGGTCCCTAACCCTCAAGGGGCGTACAGGCTAAGGTCCCTCACCCTCAAGGGGCGTACAGGCTAAGGTCCCTAACCCTCAAGGGGCGTACAGGCTAAGGTCCCTAACCCTCAAGGGGCGTACAGGCTAAGGTCCCTAACCCTCAAGGGGCATACAGGCTAAGGTCCCTAACCCTCAAGGGGCGTACAGGCCAAGGTCCCTAACCCTCAAGGGGCGTACAGGCCAAGGTCCCTAACCCTCAAGGGGCGTACAGGCCAAGGTCCCTAACCCTCAAGGGGCGTACAGGCCAAGGTCCCTAACCCTCAAGGGGCGTACAGGCCAAGGTCCCTAACCCTCAAGGGGCGTACAGGCTAAGGTCCCTAACCCTCAAGGGGCGTACAGGCTAAGGTCCCTAACCCTCAAGGGGCGTACAGGCTAAGGTCCCTAACCCTCAAGGGGCGTACAGGCTAAGGTCCCTAACCCTCAAGGGGCGTACAGGCTAAGGTCCCTAACCCTCAAGGGGCGTACAGGCTAAGGTCCCTAACCCTCAAGGGGCGTACAGGCTAAGGTCCCTAACCCTCAAGGGGCGTACAGGCTAAGGTCCCTAACCCTCAAGGGGCGTACAGGCTAAGGTCCCTAACCCTCAAGGGGCGTACAGGCTAAGGTCCCTCACTTACATTCATACATACACATACTAGGGACAATTTAGACAGGATCCAATTCACCTACCAGCATGTCTTTGGAGTGTGGGAGGAAACCGGAGTCCCCGGAGGAAACCCACGCAGGCACAGGGAGAACATGCAAACTCCAGGCAGGATGTGCCGTGGCTGGGATTCGAACCGACGACCCGAGTACTGCCAGGGGGAAGTGCTAACCATTCAGCCACTGTGCTGCCCCACAACTTGTTCATAGTGATAGCCTGCACTACTCTTAGGATCTGTGTTCCGCACATACAAACTGGAGCTGAATGGGACTTCTACAAAGTTTGCCGAAATGCTTTGTAAAGCTTGCTGTTCACTTTGCTCTCATACAAGCTGAAGCCCATGTGAAACGAGCCTTAGGAACTCTTGACGGCAACAGGAAATGCAAGCCTAGAGATGGCGCCACCAAAGGTTCCCCCTTCATTCTGTTGACTTTTGATGTTATGCAAAATGGTGGGAGACGTGGGTCAGTAAGGGGTAGGCTGGAACACACCAAGCAACCAAGGCAGAAATAGACTACCTCTGATGTGTGTTGCATTGGATCGTGTCACTACCCTGACATGCTTGGTGTGGGCGAAGGATGACGTTGAATAGGTGGGTCTGCAAGAGGAAGAACCCATTTAGGATCCTTCCAACTGGAGATGTATAGACCAGTGCGCAGGGTAGTGGCGGGGAGGCAGCGAACCTCTAAATTCCAATGTGTATTTAGGACTTTAGATAATTACACTTTTTTGGGACCCACGGGGTGTAGCTGGCCTCATCCTCCATTATACCTTGTTGGCCATTGAGGTAGTCATACAGAGTGACCAGTAATGTAAGGACGGCAGAAAGGGATGTAACAGACTTCATGATTTAAAGCAGAGAATTCAGATTGAGCTCCTTGGGACACTTGCTGTCACCTATAGGAATTTAAAATCTACAAAGTGTGGAAGGGTCGGCCACTTTTTTATATTTTTTTTTTTTTTCGTTCTGAGCCTCTGTTGGGGGAATCGCCCCGTTATTTGTACTGGTGACCAAAAATAAAAGTGACGGGAAATCCAAAATTTTAGAGTTTCCTCCAGAACAAGATGAGGAGAAATCTTTCAGTGGGGACAGCTGGGCAAGAGGGGAATTCTCCGCCTCATTTGGAAGATTTCCTTTTTAAAGTGGTTTTACAGGCTGAATGTTTTTTACCCCCCCCGCCTAATACCGAAGCCCCCCCCTCTTGATCCAGCAATGTGTACAGAAGCCTCGGCTGATTGGCTCTGTGGAAGAGGTACAACCTCAAAACACGTCAGCTATCCAGAGGTCTACAGACTACCTTCAGACTACCTTCAGACTACCTTCAGACTACCTTCAGACTACCTTCAGACTACCTTCAGACTACCTTCAGACTACCTTCAGACTACCTTCAGACTACCTTCAGACTACCTTCAGACTACCTTCAGACTACCTTCAGACTACCTTCAGGGGCTATTGAACCACACTGCATTTCTTGTGACATGCTCTCCATTTGATTTTATTTCTCTTGTGAGGATTTTACTTATCAAATTTTGTTTTTAAAGGTAATCCACTAGGCCTGTGTGCCCTCTTTTTGTCTCTTCATATACAGTCCCAGGACTCCCTCGCCTCATAGGCTGAGACAGAAACGGGACCCATTGGCTCCCACTGCTGTCAATCACAAGTGAGCCAATAAGGAGAGAGCAGGGCTGAGCCACGGCTCTGTTTTATGGACACATAGAGTGGGGCTCTGGAGCAAGCAGGCAGAAGTTCCCCCATAGCAAGCGGTTTGCTATTGGGGACACCGGTCAAGGGGGAGGAGCCAGGAGAGCTGGCTGGGTACCCGCGCAGAGGAGGATCTGGCCTGCTCTGTGTAAAACCACTATGCAGAGCAAGTAAGTGACTTTATTTTAAAAGATGACCCTTTATTATTATTATTATACAGTATTTATAAAGCGCCAATAGTTCGCTCAGCACTGTACATTACAAAGGGGGACAGAACATGTGACAACAACAATACAATGCAAAACATGAGGGGATCGAGGGCCCTGCTCTTTGGAGCTTACAATCTAATATCACTTTAACCTCT